ATGTAAAGAGGATTCAAAGAAAATACGGATTATAAGACATTCGCTGAGATTAAGGAAGTCCCTAAATTCATTAAACTTTTTCGAACCCAAAAAGGCGGTTTGGCGAGTCAAGAGAAAATGCATCTTCCTGAACAATTTAAGTCAGAAGAAAATTTCCGACGACGACACCAACACCGATTTTACTAAACACACAATGGGCTGAAGGCAAGCTGTTGATGGTTTTCATTCCAACCGAGGATTTCTATTAAAACTCAACTGGAAACATAGGCGATGAATAACAAAATTCGGTTAATTATGAAGAAAACTCTGTCTTACATTTCAGGCAGCTTTAATTGAAATAAAAACAACAGCAGCGATAAACGTAATAAAACATTAACTGGACTTAACATTAAAACCACCAAACCACACGAAAGTGCACGCGCACTGTACTGTTCCTATATTTGTTTCCTTCCACGGGGATCCGTTTTGCTAAAACATCCTCCGTCTTTACCTGTGTCGATCTTACGAAACTCAGACACACAAACGGCAGATAGTACGTAATTAGAATAAGTAGCAATTACTTTGTCGCCTCAGATATAGACGACGGAAGTGTGAAACAGGACGGAGACGAAGTCAAGCTGCCGGCTGGCGTAAAGGGTTCTAACTCATTGCCTAAATTCCATTATCTGCTGCTACCTTGTTCCGCAAATTTTTTTGGGGTTTTAGGCCTTGATGGAAGTGAGGATACCGATAGGGCGTAGGGCCCCCAACTGCATGACGACTCCAAAAAATATACCCTAAAATTCAATGTGACTGTAAACATCACTTATTATTCACCGTTTCCATTGTTTGAGATTTCCTTTCTTTCCTCACTAAATGTAGACTCGCCAGCGGCGCCTTATTCAAAGTCCGTTATTTTTTGAAAGTTGTTTTTCGTTTATTTTTTAATTATCGCGTCCTTTTTCTCTACCAAGTGACAGCGTGCGAGAAGACTTTCGGCAGAAATTTGTCTATTTCCTGTGTTCTCTTGCTCTCCGTCCTGTGTTTTGCCCCACTCACAAAACCCCCTCTACGACCATTCAACATACGACGTGGTTCACAGGTTAGCTCAAGTCAATCGTGGATCCAACACCCTATCGTTGCTGAAGTTTTTTAAAGTATCGTATAAAACTCTGCCAATCCCCGATATTCTTCGCGTACCTTTTTGTATTTAGAAAAGACTGCGTTTGCCAAATAAGATTTATCTGAAAGTGGTTTTCAGAGACGACAATTCTGCCAGTCATGATTGTACCAGATGTGGGACCGTTACCGTTTAGATGCAGAAAAACCTGACGTTATCACGACTACTCGTCGGTATTATGAGGAACAGCTGAGATCAGTTACATATTTGCATAAAGATATGCCTACGATTATCCGGACATTATTTTTGAGGTTAGTTTGGTAACCCTTCCGTTCCCTTCTTGGAGTGAGTTCTACCTTGCTCTTCATATACTCTTTAGATCGTTGATAGCAAAACTTACTCCTTAACTGGCATGCAGTTACGCTGTAGTTGTCCCACTGCAAGGAAACAGACAGGACGCTGCTTGCCTCCACTTCCCTGGACTCAATCATTCGTTCTTCTGGTGGAGATGTTGCTAACACTTATGATGAAGAGGAAAAGGAGGATGATCATGACGATGGTGGCGATGCTCATGAGGAGGAGGAGGATGCTGCTGCTGCTGCTGCTGTTGCTACTGATTACGATGGTGGTGGCGATGAT